TGGGGCCAGCCATAACATGTTGGCATGGGCAGCCGTGATGTCCCGGGGCAGCAGTGGGGGGCAGACGCCAGCATGGGGGCAAGGTAGGGCTGGGCCCGGAGATGCTCTGAATCTTGGCTGATGGACCCTTCCTCTTGCCCCACTGGGCAGGCCTCAGGCAGCCCCAGTGACGCAAGGAGCTAGGCTTGGGGCCTGCCCTCGGGGGTTGTGGTGCTGCAGGGACCCCCCCAGCCCTGGGGACACAGAGCTGGGAAGGACAGGCTGCATAGCCTGGGGTGGGGGTGTCTGGTGCACCCATCCCTGGGATCTCAAACCTTGCCACAGGGGCTGCTGTGGGGAAAGCATGTGTGTATGCACGTGCACGTGTCCCAGATGTCTGGGTTTTGTGAGCATGTGTCTGTTTCTGTGTCCTGGACGCCTGGGTACTATGTGTGCGTGTCCTCGACACCCGGGTCCTATGCATGTGTGTGTGTGTGTGTGTCCAGGATGCGTGCATAGTGTGTGTGTATATGTGTGTCTGGAAGCCTGGATGATGTATGGAGAGATGGTTGTGTGTGTGCATCCCAGATGCCGTGTGTGTGTGTGTGTGTGTGTGTGTAAAACCAGGGTGTTGTCTGTATGTCTGTCCCAGAGGCCTGGATTCCATGTGTGTGTGTCCTGGATGCCCAGGTTCTGCACGTGCATGCATGTGTGTGTGTCCTGAATGCCCAGGTTGTGTGTCCTGAATGCTGGGGGGGGCGGGGTGTCCCAGAGGTCTGGGTTCTGAGCACATATCCCAGACACCTGGGAGTGGTGTGTGTGTGTCCCAGTATCCGTGTCCCGGATGCCTGGGTTCTGTGTGCATGTCCTGCTCTTACCCACAGCATCTGCCCAGCAAACCCGTGCCCTCCAGTTCCCAGAGCTCCATGGCCCCAGAAGCTGCACCTGGCAGGGGTCAGAGGCCATTCTGGGTCCAGGCCACCAGGTGAGGATGATCTGGGCCCAGCTGGGCTGCAGCCTCCCCTCCCCAGTGCTGGGGGCTGCTCCATGCTGCTGGGCACCCCAGGCTGAGCTGGACACCAGGCTTGAGAGGAGTGGGAGGGGGGGCAGGGGGCTGGTAGGATCTGCTCTGGGTCTCTGCCACCATTTGGTGGCTCAATGGGTCTGAGCACCACAAGGCAACAGAGAGATGATGGGGGGAGAGAGAGAGAGAGAGAGAAAGCAGGAACAGGGATGGTGAGAGGTGGAGATGGACAGAGATAGACGGCTAGATGATAGGTATATGGATAGAGGGATAGCGATACCTAGGTAGAGAGAAATAGGTGATGGATGTGTGGGTGGATGGGTAGACAGGGTTATACGGTTGGTGTGTGGAGAGGAGTAAGGAATGGATGAATGGACAGGGGTTATGGAGATGGATGGTTGGATGAACAGATGAATGGGTGGATGGGGTTATGGAAACGGACAGATAGGTGACTGGTTCATTGGCTAGATGGACAGATAACTAGATGATACATGGCTAGATAAATAGAAATATCTATGTAGGTAGATGGAGATCGAGAGAAATGGATAGACAGAGATGGATAGAGATAGTTGGATGGTCTGCTTCATTGGATGGATGGATGGAGATGGACATAGGTAGATGATGTATGGATAGAGATATCTAGGGAGATAGAGATAGATGGATAGAGAAAGAGGGATATAGGTACATAGAGACACAGAGAGATGGATATAGAGATGACTAGATAGAGATACCTAGATGGAGAGAGAGAGGGCAATAGAGACAGAGATGGATAGAGAGGGACAGATACATATAGCTAAATGATACATGGAGAGATGAATAGAAATATCAGGGTAGAGATAGATGGAGAGACAGATAGATGGATAGATGAAGACAGATAGATAGGTATCTAGGCAGATAGACAGATGGATGGCCAGAGATAAACATAGACAGAGGGACAGAGGTGATGGCCGCTGCATACAAAACCTCCTGCTGCAGCCGCGAAGCCATGCTCAGAGTTGTGCAGCCGGCAGCAGTGGCATAGTGCAGAATGGTAGTGGGGATGGCA